CTTGTGTCTGACACATTCATATGCAAATGACTAATCTGTGAAACAAACAGGGGCGGAGACAAACCACTCGAATGTTTGGAAACACTCATTGTGTGTCAGATAGCTACTGATAACACATCCTAACATTGCTTTGTCTTGAGTTTATCTTTGAAATTTATAGGCACACAGATTAAACCTGTATTGTTGATTTTGGAAAACACTACTGAGGCTGCCTTGCTTCCCTTCAGAAAATATGCATTTTAACCAACTTACATGACATTCTATGTTATGTTGACTTTATCATATGAAAGTTTATAGTGCATTTCATCAATTAATAAATAAATGTGAAAATCGTAATTTTCAACACAAATAATAGTCTCGCTACCTTAAAATGATACATTGAAACAGAGGGGATGTGGCTTCTATTAGAGCATGTACACATATGAGAAATGATGAATTTTTGATTCTCAATTATGGGTGCGACTTCTATTAGGGATGCGGCTTCTAATACAGATTTTACAGTATTATGTAAAGTTGCTGAGCTGTTCAAAGAAAATCATATTAGAAGCACAAGTTCCTATAAATATCAAATATCAAAACAGTTTATGAATTTTAGCATGAAACATGTATGTATGTTTGGTGCTCTACACAAAACAAGCATAATAGGCTGGAAACAAAATAAATCAACAAGACAAATGAATCATTTAACATAAAAGATCATATGCAAGTTAGCCACACATCTTGAGCTGGTATGTACACGTCCCCAAAAATAACACTCATAAATGCCTATCTTTTATCATATAAAAGTTACAAAGGACATTGTAATTTCTAAATCAGCCATCATACCTTCAACTATTTTCTGCTTCTTCGGGTCTGGTGGTTGTTCATTTTCTTCACTGTCTGACACCTCCATGTCAATTTCATTTCTATTACGCAGCAAATCCTGCTGCTCTGTTATTTTGATCTCCTGCAAGCCAAATAATATAACAAAATTTCAGGCTAAACTTCACACATGACAGAATGCTGATTAATTCTCAGCAAACCCAGAAATTCCAGCTAGACTGTTCTTTACTACTTTATCTGTGGTACTGAAAACAAATAAGTTTTCATGCTCATATCAATTTTCATTTCAAAATTTTCATCAAACAGAATAAGATAACGTTATCAATGTGTTTTGGTCAAAATTTACCCCAAAATAATTAAATTGCTATATTTTCATTGACAATGGATCAAATTGCATTTTTCAGCTATTGGAGGCAGATGAAAATAATCAACAGTAACTGTAATATGCAACGTTTTACCATTGATGCAGGAAAAGGAAAGTTGTTTTTCTCAAAAAAAAACACCTTGATTGTAGAAATTTGTATGTTGTCTGCTTAACACAATTACCTGTACACAAAGCATGAGACTAGTTCATGTAACCAGAGTACCATTCCATCATGTAAGAACGAGCAATGATGCTTGGCAACAAGAAACTTGTCTGTAATTTCAGGCAAGGAGAGAGTATAGAGGCGACTTCTCCTGCTTTGCCAGACTTAAGCAATGTCTTTATAAATATAAGTTCTAATAATACTAATGCCACTTACCTTCTATACCACACTAAAACTTGATGTACATAAACACACCTACGCTACAAGGACTTATTTTTTGTTCGTTTTAAGTTTGACTATGACTACGGAATTAAATGTCATTTTTGTGATGCAACAAGCCTGAAGTGGACTGGATTGACAAAGAATTTTGCTCGATCAAAAACGCAAAAAAAAATTTAAAAAAAATGTAAACTGTATCGCATCATTAAAATACGATTTATTATGATCATAGACACACTTCTGTCATAGACGCAAACTTTTGTGCTACTAACGGTAAATGAAAATCTACTGAATTCAAACATTGACTTCCTGTGCATTTCTAATGTTACACAGAATGCCTAAATTATTTAAAGTAGCAAAACCAAATTCAAATGAGAAGATTAATGCAGTAAATGAACAGACATTGTGTTATTCTTTTGTAGGTTTGATGATATTGGAGGTAATATATATGCCAAACAATACTACCATGCCTTGTAGTAGTGGTATTTCTAAGAATTTTCTGCATACACTGCTGCACCATTACATTACACAGTATGCTAATTATCATACTAGTTTCAGAAACACTAATAAACCCATATACTGTAAACATATGTACCAGTAATTCTGATTTGTATGTACAGGTAATAATACATTTGTATATTTTTTTTCTGCAGTAAGAGAGACATTCTATGATTGGCTACCAAATACTTAAACCAAATTAGTTAGCTTATCTGGAAACATGACTGCGTCGACCTTGTTCGTCTCTTACCATTTTCGCCATTTATATATTTTGGATTAATAAATCAGAGTAGACTATGTGAACAAAATCCATGCACAAAGTTTTGAAAATTACCCCGGTAGCAGCAGATGGGTTATAATAGTATTTTTAACACAGCCAGCCAAATATTAAAACCTTAAATAGCAATTATATTTGACAGGCTTACTTCTAAGTGTTTAACAAAATGTAGCACAATATCATTGAAGGCTTGGCTTGAAGTCCATTATGTTTTTTTTTTAATGATGTTCAAACAGTACTATCTCGAAAATATACATAAAATACAAGACAAGACAAGCACGAAGCCAAACCGTTCAAGTGAGTGAGAGTGCATCTAACCTGTGTCTGTTGTTTCCATTGATCAATATGCTTCCGCTGGGCTTTGGAGAAATGGTCCCGGGCTTTCTGCTTGCAGGCTGCAGTAAGTACTTGCTCAATCTCACTGACTTCAGTTAGCAAGTCCCGTCATACACAACCAAGTCATACAGTTAATAATCACAGAAATGTTTTGTAAATAATCAGGGCATTTCTTGTTTTCAATGTTTCACTTACTGGACTTGTTAAGGATGTTTAAAAGACAGAAGAGAAAACAAAGCAAATATCAAGGATGCTGTCTGTCTTGTGTACTTACTGCTTTCAGCAGAGCCAATTTTTTTGTTTTAATGAATTCAAATGCAAATCTGTTAGGAATAAACAACACAGCCTTGATAGGTGTTTTTTTTCCCTTCCGAGTTTTCTTCCACTGTGGCCAGGACTTGATCCATACTATTATAATGGTATGAAAGATCTTCCAAACTAGGGTAGCACAACTACAACATACACCTATTATCACTGTTTCATCCTCATAACACTCTCTCAGAGTAATACAATCACAGAAAACGGAAGAACAAGAAAGTACAAGAAAATCCACTTCCTATCACAGAACCAAAAAATATCACTGTAACTGGTTTATGGTCGCTAACAATCTACATTACAGATGGACTGTGGTCTAATCTCAGTTCATGCTTATGAGATATGAATGCTGTTGTACAAGACATATTGCAATGCTTAATACACATACACAATTGTTTTGTTTTGTTTTTTATTATCGATGCAATTTATATACATGCTGTGAATGTATACGTAGAGGAATCTGCCTATAGCTGTTAAGGTACATTA